CCTCCTCACTCTGCCTGTCCCTCCCTTTGCCTCTCTCCCTCCCCTCTATCTTCCTCTGCACTCCATACTGCGCCTAGTTAACTTCATTGGTTGGAGAGGAAGAATGCTGAGGGTGCAGGAATAAAGATAAACCAGCATCAATTAGACTCTAAAGTGCACTTTATTTATTTTTTTCCCAACCCCATGCCCAATTAAATTACACTATAAATTAAAAAAAATTACGTAATGGAAAAGCAATGAACTTTAATTATCGAAGCAGATCCTCAGCATGGGTCACTGCTCACTACAATCCAGTTCACCGTGTGCTCTCACACTGCACATGTGCTGGCTTTGATCACTTTCTTTGTATCTGTTCATAAACATAAATTCACACATTCAGCCTCAGATGTAAATGATCTGACCTGTGTGGTGAGGTTGCACAATAAAATACACACTCCCTACATTGTTCCAAATTAATATTGGTCCAATAATGGGAATCAGAACAAAGAGTCTGTATTTGTTCACATCACTGCAAACAGACTTTAATTACTGACAACAAGCATTGAGGAAACATCCCTCTTTTATAAAGTGATGTTTCCCTCTTATGTTCTTTCTCTCACTTGGTGAGCACAGTGTATGTAACAGAAGAGATCAAACCGCTTTGATCATTCAGAGACACAGTGGGAAACAAATTAAACATGATAACTAAGACTGTGCTTCCTCCCATGTGGATTGGATGGATGGGGTAATGTCTGTCTGGAGGCGAGCGAGACACAGAAAGGGGAGTGAAAGCACAACACAGCAGCTGTGAATCCCCTCTATTTCTTTTTGGGAGCACTGCCATGTCAGATGGCATGGCACAACGTGACCTATGTTAAATGTTACTTCCATTTGCCAGTGTTTTATCTTTCTATTTTGAGTGTGCAGTGGATAATTCTGACCCGTACTGAAATACATGTGGATGGCCTGCAAGGAATGCCAAGAGCAGCCTTTTGTTTTAATCAACTCATCCTTCCTGCATCAGTAAAGTGTCAATAAAGAGTAGACAAACCTGAAAAAATCGAATTGCTAAAGGCATCTAATGACCTAAAAATGCACTGTGTTACACGTCACAATGAAAAAACCTAAGGTTATCTGATGTGTATGTTTTCTTCACAAGGCACATGGTTGTGTAATAGTTTCACTGAATAATGGGTCCTATGAGGATAATCATGTACATCTCTGTTTTGCTCTGCATATTTGGTTGGGTCTGATAACACCTGATTGTTGACAAAATAATAATAACTAAAACACATAAACTGTGGCCTGGACGATCAAAGTGAATTTTTTTCACTTCTGAGACACCATTTTATTGCACAGGAATTGTGTTGGCCCTTGTTTTTCTGATTTCAGTCTATAGCTCAATAAGACGTATTCTCAACAAAATGAATTTGACTGAATGGTGTCGAATGTTCCAAGTCAGACCAGAAGGACGTTTAGAGGCGGTTGTTTAACAATAAACATTTTATTTTTCAAACAAGTCAATTCTTGAACCAAGTTATTTTTGTATCTTTAATTTTCTAGTATATTGGCTGTGTTGTCCTTTTGTGAGATATTGTACTGCCCCACATTCAGAAAACCCAACGTTTATAGTATGAGGTAAAACATTTAATAATAATATTAATAATAATAATACATGACACTTACACAGAAAACTCAAATATGCTTTGAGTAACACAAAAAAAACAGAAAATATATAAAGAGACAAACAAAAACAGAAAAGGGGGGGGGGGTTGGTCAGTGGTTTTGAGTGATTGACAGCTGAATTGTTTTTTTCAAAAATGTTGACATTCAGTAGATTCTCCCTCAAGCTCTGTCTGTTGGTTCCCATGGTAACCAGATCGACAATGTTTACGCGTGACTTTTATAACACAGCTCTCTTTAGTGGTAATTTAAACATACAGCCAATCAACATTACGAAAAATAAAATATTCCCTTATCTGAGAATCTAGATTGCTTGTAGAGAATATCAAGAGGAAAGCACTCTCCATGTGAAAAGTACATGTTCATAATTACGGCTCCGGGGTAGGAAGGCTTCATATAGATTGCAAGTCTAATTAGTGAAGTTGTTGTTATAATATTCTTTCTGTCTTGGCATAACAACAACAGCAACCCAAACATTCACAATTTTGCTGCGTCAACATGACTTACAGTCACATAAGAAACAGTCTCAATGAGCAGGAAATGAATCAACCAATACCGCCCTCCCCTTACACAGCCTCACACGATCTGATTTCCTTGTCAAAAAAAGGCCTGTTATCCAATTAAATGATGGTGAATCATTATTCGTTGGTATCTTCTCCCGGTGGTTTACATAACCAGGATTTAATAATAGAACATGTGCGCAAATTCTCTCCCACAATACTACTGGTGCACCCTGACCAAGAAACAGTACACAGGTTTGATGCTCTATTTTGAATGTGAGTCACACAGAGAGCCATAGTGAAAGAAAGAGAGAAAAAGAGAGAGGTTGAACGAAATTAACCGAAGAAGTGCATTTCCCTGCCACATGTCTCACCCTGTCGAGTCACAGGCATATTCGCCTCTGCGGTTTTACAGATGAATAAATGTCCCAAAGGCTTGTGCATTTAATTTGGCATCAAAAAACACGCATCAAAAGAGCGGAGCACACAGCTTTGTTTAAGATCCTCTCCTCCTTCAGGGTGATGTTTCAGTGTGAACTCAAACAGATATCGGATTACCGATGATGCCTGATGCAAGATGTTCTCAGCCCTCAGAACTACTTCCGCAACACAGCATTGTCAGAGTGTATGACTTCAGCCAGTAATTAATTCTTCCATAATGTGTGAAGAGAGCCAACCGTCACAACCACACACACAGAACAACTATGTGACCAGTAAAAGGCTGGATAAAGAAGCATTATACATTCAAGAGTACTTTAAGAACAAGGTAATTGCATTTATTTAAATATAGGTGATTACAATGCAAGATGATTTAAAATTGTGAAAGTCATAAATAATTTAACAATGATTCAAAGTGTGTGTTTTTATGCAGAAGTACTTACAATGTTGGCAACCTGAAACCTTTACTCCTGACAAATAACTGGCAGACGAATAACTGAGCTTCAGCTGGAGACGAACAAAAGCCTGACTGAGGGACAGGCTCAGCTGGCAGACATTTAACTTTAGCCGAAGACCCTGGGAGAGTGTGTGTGTTGTGTGTATGTGCCTGTGTGTGTGTGTGTGAGTGGGAGAGAGAGACAGAGAGAGAGAGACTTTATGTTAGCAGTCACATCACATCACACTTTGCAACCAAATTGATTAAGAGAGTCACCATGCAGACTTATTTGGACATGGAGCAGATTGAACAATTACAAGCGACCTCTGGTTTCATGTGAGAACATTAACATACTAATTGTTATTGCAGCTATATATATTACAAATGGTTTACATTCTGTATGCACATATGTGATTTTAGATGTAGATATTTAAAATAATCTCTTTAGTGTATGTGTGTGTGCGTTTGCATTTATCTGTGTGGTTACAAAAAGAAAGAAGATGATACTTTATCAATCCGCAACGGGGAAATTACTTTTTTCCCTCACATTACACACACACACACACACACACACACACACACACACACACACACAGGTTGATATACATGAACAAATACAGAAACAGAACCACATGCAGGATGGGGGAGGGAGAGTGAAGGGGCCAGTTTGGTGACGCCCAGAGCAGTTGCCTTGTTCAAGGGCACCTTGGCAGTGCCCACGAGGTGAACTGGCACCCCTCCAGGTACCAGTCCACGCTCTGTATTTGGTCCGATCGGGACCCATCAGTTCAAAGTCCAAGTCCCTACTCACTTTGCTGAGCTCAGCACCAAACTCTCACCAGGTCTTGTCAGTCCAGCCCCCCCCCACCTCCTTTTCCTTTCATCCCATCATAATGCTCTCTGTCAATAAAACGATGAAGAGGAGGGATGGAGAAGGCGGTG